GTATAACTGTACATTTAAAGAAACTGATGAAAATCTTTCGAGCGTAAATGGTATTGAACGGACTAAACCTTTTTTAGTATCCTCAGCAAGAGGAAATTTTTTGTACAGGCAGCAATCGTTGCAGGCAATGGTGACCAATTTGCGGAGCAAGGAACTGATTCCGAATACGCATTGGTCTTTCAGCCCAATGGCACTGGTAATTTCCACTTACCACTTATGATAAATGTGATGTACTAATGATACAATTGCACCCGACACGCGGAGTATTAGAGTAACATCTGTGGTGAACTTTCGAGCAAACCAAAAGCTTACTACAAATGGTTTTTTCTTATTATTAAAATGTGCGAGTTTTTCGTGAATGTCTATGATCATCGCCGTAAAACAGAGCCAAAGGCGTCGATCAAGACCGTTAGCGTCAAAGGATGTTGTCGACAGGTAGCTTTAGAAGACAACGTCGAGACAACACCGGAAAATTCTGCGTCGGAATAAAGCAGAGTATGGTGTTAAGTATTAGGATAAGGTCGAGAATGTCGGCGCCGAGATAGCGTCAAAAATACGCAACATTGGGATAATGCCGAAAGTAGAAAGCTTTCAGAAAAATGATGCGTCCGTGGGTGTATAACGAAAAAGCTGTTTCCGCCCTTATTCTAAAACGAAAAACATCTAGCTAGCTCGCCAGGACAACCCCCTCCCCTCTCCCAGTCGAAATCACCATCAAAACCGAAGGTGTTCCTTTCTTCAATCATCACACCAACATGAAAAACGCACCCTGCCTGTCCTGGCAGCTTTGATATTTTCGGCAATAATTTGTTAACGGTAGTCACAGTAACCATAGTACTTTCAGGATTTGATTGTTTCAAATCGAAGGATGTGGTGCATATCAATCCAGATGACTTCGACGGATTTATTTTCCCGGCTAGTATTTGCAGTCGGCCTAATGTATTTATTCGTGTTGCAAGCGTACCCCACCAAATACTCAGGTTTGGCTTGCTTTTGTGCATTAACATGGTTAAATTGCCTGCAAACAACTTTTAAGAGGGAGCCATCGTCAGCCTTGCCAGCTGGTGCTTACTGTTAGCACATATGAGCTACCATCCCGGCGTTTTGGCTTTCATAAGTACTGAAATTCACAAAGAATTTTGACTTTTTTGCGAGTGTGATAACTGATGTTTTTGCAAGCTAAATTTCCTGAATTTGCGAATTGCATTTGTTTCATCCTGAAATTATGGAATTGGCTTGGTAGAAATGAGCTCGTGCGCCATACTTGGGTTACTTACTTTACGACAATGTGTGTTCGTCAAATGTGCGAAATTCTCTTAGGCCCAGCTTTTGCATCACTGGGGCAGCAAAAATACACAAAAGCGCGGTCATTTTTAAGTGTACGTTGTATGTTTGTGCCTACCGTCTAATTGTTAGTCCACAGAAAGTAGCTTCAAAACATCAGCAGACAGGGGCTGAAACTGCAATTTGCGGCTACGCGTGAGGACTAAAAGTCAGTTTAAGGTCACTTTGCATTCGGGCAGACTACTAACAAGCAAAAGAATTTGCAGGCTTGAAATCTGAGAAAATAACGCTTTCTTGCATATAAGGCAGCAAATCCGAAACCAGTTTAAAATGAACTTTTTTTTTGTTTTGTCTAAGGCCTTAATTTGATTATTTTAACCTGCTTCAAGAACAAACAAGAACTCCCGATCTTGATAGTCGTGTGTATGCCCTTGTTGCGTCTCTGAATACAATGAAGTTCCCATAAGCAAAATTGCTGAGTAGGCTTCCCTTAATTAATAGAGCCTGCTCACGGTATTGACACTAAACAGCCGAGAATTTCTTAAAGAAATAAGGCAAAAACGTGTTTAAGTTGTAGTGTGGAATACAAGTTTGAATTTGTACAATAACGCCACGGAAAAAATTACGCAGACCTTGCAG